CATAAAATTGTGACCCAGTCTCTCACTTTGTTTCAGGATGGGGAGGGAGAGGAGATTACAACTGATCCACTGTATCCCCTGCAGAGAAAGTGACAGATTTTAAACTCTAATTGCTTTTTGTGTGAATAAAAATCCTGTTTTCATATTGAATTAAAATAGAAGTTTGCCCAGAGTTTTTCAAAAATTGTCATTTTTTTTGCCTATATTTTATCGAATAGCTTTTATGGAATAGTATTTTATAGAATACTAGATAGCTTGCTGAAACAAATGGGGAACACAGTTATTAAGACTCATTAATATGTGTTAGTTGCCTATTTTAATACCTGTGATGTAACATTAACTTTACTTACCATCTTTTGTGTGAATGTGTACTGATGTGATTGAGCTCAGCGTCAGGCTCTGCCACTGTTAAGCGCCCCGAGATGCTGCCCCGTGTGAAGGGTGTTATATAAATGCAAGTTGTTGTTGTAAATTGTCACCAACTGGATTCTCTCCTGTTAATATAGTAGCTGAAACAGTTTCACTGATTATCCAGCTGAAAATTATTTTAATAATAACAATATTTGCATTTGATATATCGCCTTATCACAGTGTTGAGACCGTTTCAAAGCGTTTCACAGGACTTATTACAGGACATGGAGTACTGTAGCTTAGTGGTTAGAGCACTCGCCTGGCAAGTTGTTAGTCGATTGACAGACTGCTTTTCTGGGGGTAATAATCCCTCAAAAAAAAGAATAATTTGATCACTCAATCCACGACTGTTTGTAGGACACTGCTGTTTGTAATCGGCTGCCGAGTTTCACCCACAAAATATATAGTATATTCTCTGAAGTCACTTTATAGTATATTTTGTGAAGCGCTTTGAGATGTCTCGAAGACTTGATCAGGTGCTAAATCGAATGCAGGGATTATTATTACTGTAAAGTGTTAGTTTGTTAGACTGTTAGTTTGTATGTTTGTGTTTGTGAGTCTCCCCCTCCCCTTCAAGCTCGCTCTCCCGCTCACTCTCTTTCATAAATGCAGCTAATTCAGACAGAACAATTTCCCACAGTCCAACCAGGTTGAATTTACTGCTCCCTCCCATTTGTGTCAGTCAGTCAGTCACACTGGCTACTAGCTTTGTGCTGTCTCTCCGTGCCTAGCACAATTTAATCCCCGGCATCAACACATTGTGAACTGATGGCGCTGGTTCATTTGGAGTGTCCCATCATGTCCATTGGCTCGCAATGTTCCGCTCAGTGATGTCGCAACAAAGCTTCCATTCGCCTGCTCTTCCAATACTTTTCTGTCTTTAACTTGTCCTGTGACCCATTTCAGTTTCTTGTTCAGTTCAATCTTTATTTTTTCAAATAGATCCATGGATCCATGGAGTCCTGTAGCTCAGTGGTTAGAGCACTCGCTTTGCAAGCGAGAGACCTGAGTTCAATTCCAGGCAGAGGGCGAAACCTTGGGCAAGTTTCCTTACTCCACACAGAGCCTAATAATAATCCCTCCAAAACAAAACAATAATAAATTGGTCATTTTCAATCTACGACCGTTTGTGGGACATTGCTGTGCGCAATTGGCTGCCGCGTTCGCCCACAAATATACAGTCAATTCACTTTACAGTGTGTTCTGTGAAGCGCTTTGGGACGTCCTCCCGACGTGAAAAGCGCTATATCAAATGCAAGGATTATTATTATTATTATGGGGCACAGAAGTAGGTTATTCGGACCATTGGGTTGGTGCTGGCTCCCTTAACAAACCCCCTCAGTCTTATTTACCTGCCCTTTTCCCATGATCCTGCAGTTGACTCTTTTTAAGGTATTTGTCCAATTCCCACTCCTGGCAGGACATTCCATTTCCTTTATTTTTATATTTCCTGACCACTCTGTGCATGAAAATATTTCTCCTAACCTCCCCATTTGCTTGTTTACTAACTATCTTAAATTGATGCCGTCTAGTCACCGACCAGTGTAGAGTTTCAGTGTGCTGATTATCTTTGCTGGTGATTATCCTGAGACTTTTTCCCCCCCTCCCACATCCCCTCACATTAACAGAATTACATTCTGCAGAGAATGATGTGTTTGACCTTTGCCTGCCCCTGGCTCCATGCCTGAGAACCCCTTTCAGAGGCGTTTGCCTACAAAGCACACAGTCACTACACTTTACAGTAAAATCCCGTGAAGCACTTTGAGACATTCTCCTGACTTGATTTATGCTCAATTAAAACACAAGGATTGTTTTATCATTTATTTGTTGTTTTCAATGAGCATTGTGTGATTTTCTTTTAGCATGATGCTGGATTTGGATAATACAATTATTTTGTTCAGATTTACAAAACCAATACTTATCACAGGACGGCACAGAACAGCTGTCTGTACAAGAGGTGGAGGCCATTTGGCCCATCGAGTCTGTTAATGGCAGCGTTTTATCATTTCAATCCTATTCCCTGCCATTTCCCATGTCCCATGAGACGCTTATTTCACTAGTCTTTCTTCTTTTTCTCTTTCTCTCCCTATCATTTTGTCTCTATCTTCCTCTCTCCTCTCTCTTTCTCTCCCTCTCGTCGTCTTTCTCTTTTTCTCTCTTTCTCTCCCTCTCTCTCTTTCTCTCCCTCTCTCCCCTTTTCTCATCCTCTCTCTTTCTCCCCCTCTCTCCCCCTGTTTCCTGTTCTTTTTTTCTCCCTCTCTCTCAAGCAATGGAAACAAAGTCTTGACCTGTCATCTCTTGCTTTCTTACCGGCTGCGTTGAAGTACGTAAGCACAGTGAAGATTATTGATTCAATCGAATTTTATTCGACTTACGCATGTTTGCCTGAAACTTCATGTAAGTCATATTAAATGTTATGGTGCCGACTGATACGACTTATGTGAGTTCTACAGTTGCACTGCATGGGAGTGAGAGTCTACACTGTGGGTTCAAAGTCTCAACATGGGGCTTGAAACCACAAGCTTCTAACTCGGGAGGGGAGAGTGCTGTCAAGTGAGACCCGTTAACACCTAAAAGGGAAGTCAGATTTCATTCTTATAGTACAGATTTGCATATAATAATTATCCTTACATTTGGTGTTATGCCCTTCACTTCAGGAGGACATCCCAGAGCGCTTCACAGGGTGGTGGTGGTCTAAAGTGGTGTGACTGTGTTTTGTAGGTAAAACATGGCAGCCAAATTCGCATAGCAGTGTCCCACAAACAGTCATGGCAATCATGCCACAATCATGGCAAGGGAGTAACTCCCTTCGCTTTCAAAGTGCCATGGAAACTTCAACATCCACCTGAACAGGCAGACGCTGCCTCAGTTAATGTCTCATCTGAAGAACGGCTCAGGCAATGCAACACACGCCCGGCACTGCATTGGAGTGATAGTATAGACGATATTGATTCCACGTTCCGATGTGGGGCTTGAATCCACAACCTTCTGAGGCAAGAGCGCTACTGATTAGCCAGTCTGATGCACGTATGAACGATATTTTAAGGTGGTGAGGGTTTGTTATACCTATAGTCAGTTATGCCTTTCACCAGGATGATCCTGAAATTAATTTCATTGTAGTTTATATGGATCTTTATCGCAATTTCACGTTTTGCCTGTTTTTTTTTAAAAATTAAAAAGACTTGAACTGGCTAGAATTTAAACACACATGGGTGGTTCTGAAGTCTATCAGATCTGTTGTTTTTGTTTTGGTCAATTCAGTATTTGTCACATGTGGAAACCCATTACTGTAAGAGGATCCAAACCAGACTGAGTGTTCAGTAAATGTGCAAGCCACCTACACATGGAAATACTCCTTTATCTGGAATAGAATGTGCACCCTCTCCCAAAGCCATGTCTTGGGAACCCCAGAGTGTGTGTTGGGAGTAACTGTTTAGATATCAAGAAGCTGCAGCCACCTAGCTTGCCATTGAGAGCACTGATGGCAACTGTCCGCTGCTTGTCCATCTCGAACAGTAGTGGCCAACCTTTTTGGTTGGCCAACAAAATAAATGTATATATTATATTTCTCTCTCTCATTTTCCTGACATGAAAGGCGATATATAAATGCAATTTATTGTTATAGGTGTACATACCTTCTTGGTATTATATAGCAGGAGAATATACAATGTATAGTGTGTGTCTCTCTCTCTCTCTATAGGTATCTACCTACCCAGCATTGTATAGCAAGGGAATATGCATTATATATGGGTAATTCTCTTCAACCGTGCCTTCAGCTCCCCTCTTGACTCTCTACCCCCTTCTCGCTCCCTCCCTTCCCTCCCCTCACCCTGACCATTTCCCCACTGCTCGGGTCCCGACCCAACTGTCCAGCGCCTTGGGACGTCCTCCCGACGTGAAAAGCGCTCTAAAAATGAAATCTTGTTGTTGCTGTTGTTATTGTTGTAATTGCCTATTCAGTACTGTATATTAGAATATATAAAATATAGGCTCTCTCTCTCTCTCACATGCTCTAGGTAATAATCTAGGTTTCAAAAAAAATGTGGTCGCTCAATCCACGACTGTTTGTGGGACACTACTGTGTGCAATTGGCTGCTGCATTTCGTCCACAAAATGCGCAGTTCAATTAACTTTACAGCATATTCTGTGTATCGCTTTGAGATGTCTCAGAGATGTGATAAGGGGCTATATCAAATGCAAGGATTATTATTATATCATGAGAATATATATTGTATAGTGTCTCTCTATAAGTATATGCCTATTGTATATAACGGACTCAAATACATATTTTCGATAAGCAGTATGTATCAGGAGAATATATATTATGTAGTCTGTCTCTAATGTATATACCTATTCGGCACAGTATATAATAATAATAATATAGCAATAATCCCTGCATTTAATATAGCACCTTATCACTTTATTGAGACGTCTCAAAGCGCTTCACAGAATATAGCGTAAAGTGGATTGACTGTATATTTTGTGAACAAAACATATTATATCTCAGGAGAATATACATGATATTCTCTATGGGTGTACATATCTACTTGGCGCTCTATGTAACTTTTGTCCTTTCCTTTCCTCCACAGAATGTCATCAGAGGACAGAGGTGTGGAGCTCTGTGCCCTTGGCCCACAGACTCTCAGTGCTGCTCTGAGGGGCACCACTGCTGACAGCCCCCTCAGTAACGATCGGAGGCCACGTGGACGACCTCGCAAAGATGGCACAACTCCTCTGCAGAAAAAGAAGAAGTAAGCGCTTGTTGCTTTGGAGGCCAAATCTGGCAAATAATAATTCTTACATTTATAATAATAATAATCTTTACATTTGATATAGCAACTTTCACTTCAGGACGTCTCAAAGTGCTTTACAAAGTATACTGTAAAGTGAATTGTCGGTGTATTTTGTGGTGAAATTGCGCACAGCAATGTCCCACAAATAAAGGTGTGTAGAATAAGGAAACTTGCCTAAGGTTTTGCCCCACCCAGGAATCAAACCTGGGTCCTATTGCTTGCGATATGTTAGCGACTTTTATGTCAGGTTGTCCCAAAGAGCTTCACAGGATATACTGTGAAGTTCAGTTAGTTATTATGTGTGTTTTGTGATGAACGCAGTAACCAAGTTTGCTCACACAGCAATGTCCCACAAGCAGCCACAAAGGGAGCGACCAATTTTACTTAGGGAATTGTTGGCCAGAACACTGGGAGATTCCCTTCCACATGAAATAAGTTGCCGCAATAGTGGTTTAATTGAGTCGCTATCCCACCTGAAGGACCCTATACAAATGCTATAGAAAAGTTATTGTTTATTTGTTTATTGTTCATAATACGTGGGTGGTCGCCTTGAATGTAGCATGTCATGTCAGGAGGACGTCTCAAGGCACTTTCCATTCTATTGCCACACTAGACATTAACACTCTAAACTCTTGACTGCCCACATTTTACCTCCTCCCCACCTCCCTCTTGAAGCATTGTAGCACTTTGTAATCCTCTACCTTGCGGATCTGTGTTTCTATATTTTTATCTGTGAAGGGTCATCTGTATTTACTGTAGTGCCTGGTAGCGCAGGCAGGATATGGTAGCTGTACTCGAGCGTTGTCTCCATAATAATCATTACATTTGGTATTGCACATTTCACGTCAGGAGGACATCTCAAAGTGCTTCACAGGATATACTGTAGTGACTTGCGTATTTGTAGGCGAACTTGGCAGCCAATTTATGCATGACAATACTGTGCCACAAACAGCCTTGAAGTGAGTGACTCATTTTTTTAATCTGTGCTATTGGGTTATGACACAGAGTGAAACTCCCTTCTCTTTTCCGATAGTGGCTCAGGGATCTTTAAAGTCCATTTGAATGGGCAGACAGGATCTCTGCTTTTAACGTCTCATCCAAAGGACGACAATTCTTACCAATGGAATGCTCTCCCCTCTCCTTTCCAGCACTGCATTGGAGTGTTAGCCCATGTACTCAAAGTCTCAACATAGGGCTTGAACCTATAACTTTCTAATTAATGGCCCCGATTGACTGAGCCTGACTTGGCTTTTAACTTATCACCTAACTTGGAACAGACCAAGCATTGATTCTGGGGTCATCCCTTGGTTTATGTTTCAGGAACACTGTATTAAGCAGGGCATTTAGTGTTAAGCATTTAGCAACCTCCAAGGGAGAAATAACTAAAAGTACAGCACAAACTCTCTACCATTGTTCCCTTATTGATACCAGTGACCGTTAAACTCCTTGTAGAGTCAATATGGATTTGGTTTGGAAAGCGCTTACCCTTAGGAAAAAAAAGCATAGTTCTTTAGTGACCTTCGCTAAGGGCATTCTATTTTGAATAATTTACCAAAATGTTGGTGTTTATGTTGGGTTCTGGGAAATGAATAGAATAAAACCCACTTATTCTATTCAACCCAATTTTAATAAAGGACCGAGAACAGAGGAACCAAAGACACTCAGCAACTTATGTTTGAAAATTTCTTTATTTATTATTATTATCCTTGCATTTGATATAGCACTTTTCACATCTTCTAGATGTTTCAAAGTGCTTCACAGAATATACTGTAAAGTTAATTGACTGTATGTTTGTGGGCGAAACGTGGCAGCCAATTGCGCACAGCAGTGTCCCACAAACAGTCATGGATTGAAGTGACCAATTTAAATCACACCATAATCTAGTTTACAACTTAGTCTGTCTTTATAATGTATGGTTTATGAGTTGGTTGGAACTACCCTGCTTCTAGGTTTAGTTGCAGCTATCTATTAAAACTTGGATATAGGTATCTAATCCACTCAGGGTTGTATAAATAGAAAAACAAATATGCATACAACAGATGAGTATCGCAACACTTCAACATTGTCATCAGTCACTTTAAAATGAAGTAAAGTTTGTTAGTTCAAATATCACAATACAACAGACAAGTCAATAGCATAGACACATGTCTGTATCAAAGTAAATAAAGCAATAATTGCTTAGTCCATAAATCATACAAATCTTGCTTCTTTGATGGAGTCAGTTGATAAAAGTCCTGATAAAAGTGATTAAAAAAAAACAGCAGGAAAAAGTCTTGCAGCAATGGAAAGTCTCATGATTCAGACCCGAAATCTCTTGCTTGGGTATTTTGATCACAAGGTCAAAGTTGATGATGGACAGCTGAGCTGTGTACTTTATTCGACAGTTGTCATACCTTGCTAATACTTTCGACAGTTGTTATATGTTCTTCTCCTCCCATTAAGTTGAAAACGATTTCTGAAGTTCTGGAATTTCTGTAGTCTTCCTTCTTCCCGAAATTGCTGGAGTTAATGAAAGTTGATGAAACAATGGAGTAGTCTAAGTCTGCGGATTTTAACCCCGAAGACAACACATTGGCTTCACTAATTCATATCGTCACATGAAAGATGGCTTTTTGTGTGGATGGCACCTGATATGCTATGTCATAGGCTGAACAAAGTATAGTTTGGCCCTTCCATCTTTTATAATCGATTTTCCACAGGCAAAACAAGAATAAACAATCTTTCCTTTCTCAGGTACATGAAGCAATTATCTCACATAAAAAGAATAATAAAAATACAATCTGCAGAATTGTTATTACACCTGCAGATTTGTTATTGTTATAGAAGAACATGAATTGTTATAAAACTTGAATTGTTAAAGAAAACATCTTTTAACACAAACATGAATTTGTTATGGGGAAAAACCTCTTCAGCCACCTCATCGTTAACACAACAATAATTAAAAGATGAATTTGATATGGACAAACTTCTTCAACATTCATAAACAAGTCATCTTAACATTTTTCTGGTTACATCATCATTTTTAATCATTAATCAAAATGGTTCTTTTAACTACATGGGTTAACATATATTCACAATTTCAGTTAGGAAGAAGGATCACAACGTTCAGACTCTTGTAAAGAAATTTGTTTTAATCTGAGTGCATGCAGAGCAGAGTTTGTCGAAATCAATCTAATTTCCCCAAAAATACACAGTTCGATCACTTTACAGTTTATCCTGTGAAGTGCTTTGAGACATCTCAACATGATAAATCGCTATATAAAATGCAAGGATTATTGTTATAATTGATAATAAAAATCGCCACTCTTTAATTGCAGTAACTCACTGTTTCATTTATGGAAAACCATTGTGAGGCTAAACTGGTGAAATAATTAGTCCTGCGATACCTTTACTTGTGAAATGGTTGCACCAAACCTGAGATTAGCAATTATAGAATTGACAATGCAGAAGGAGGCCATTCAGTCTATTGAGTCTGCACCGGCTCTCAGAGCAAACTGGCCATCTTGAAACCCACAGTGGCCTCTACCACCTTACTTGACACTGTGATGCCAAGGAAGGAGTCCCAACTCTGTGTGAAACAATTAACTTCAGCTCTCCTTTCACTTTTGTAACAATCTTATATCTATGCCCTCCAGTCACTGACTCCCCTACCAGTAGAATATCTTCCCTCTGTTCACCCTATCAAAACCTTTCATAGTTTTGTGCATCTCTATTGGGTTCCCTCTCAACTTTCTCTGCTCCAATGCAAACAGACCCAACTTATCCAGTTTCTCCTCATAACGACATGTCAGGCTAAAAGTTTCAGTATAAAATCAGTAACCTTTTCCCTATGGGTCTTCATGTTTGTCTTCTTCTGTAAGGGTGTGTGGTTAAATCTGTGCACATCCGGGCCAAAGTTTCTTTCTCCTGCATGTGAAAATTTGAGTCTGTTTTTAACAGCGGCAACATATAGATAATATTATAACATAGAATCAAGGAAATTGCAGCACAGAAGGAGGCCCTTTGGTTTTTTATCTTATGCTAGTACAAGTTATCCCTCAAATCCCAATTCCTTTCTCTTCCATATTGCAGTGCTAACTTCACCACTGGAACTATCTTCTGTAATATGAGTTCCTCTATGGAGCCATCTATTCTAATTGCAATTCCTTATGTGGAGTTCTGTAGTGTAGTGGTTAGAGTACTGGTCTCGCAAGCAAGTGGACCCGGGTCCGATTCCTGGGTGAGGCAAAACCTTAGGAAAGTCTCCTTACTCTACACTCCTCTGTTCACCCAGCAGTAGGTAGGAAATGGTTGTTAGTTGATTGGTGGATTGAGGGTAATCATCCCTCAAAAAAATGGTCACTCAATCGATTGTTTGTGGAACACTGCTGTGTACAATTGGCTGCTGCATTTCACCTACAAAATACACAGTCAATCTGCTTTACAGGATGTCCTATAGCTTAGTGGTTCGAGCACTCGCCTCGCAAGTGAGAGGACCTGGGTTCGATTCCCACCAGGGTGAAATATTGGGCAAGTTTACTTACTCCACACGCCTCTGTTTACCTAGCAATAAGTAGGAACTTGGTTGTTAGTCGATTAGCGGATCGCTTTTCTGGGGGAAATAATTTGTTCAAAATAAATTTTAAATAATTTGGTCATTAATTTGGTCACGGATGTTTGTGGGACATTGCTGTGCGCAATTGGCTACCACGTTTTGCCCACAAAATATGCAGTCAATTCACTTTACAATATATTCTGTTAAGCGCTTTGAGATGTCTTGAAGAATTGATAAGGCCTATATCAAATGCAAGGATTATTATTAATTTATAACGCCCTTCACGCCTACCATGTGTGACTGGTGCTATATAATGGCAAGTTGTTGTAGAATAAAAATAATAAACCTATTCCATTGAAGGGGATGGAACTTGCCTAGGGATGTTGGTTGACTCATCGTTCACTGTGTCTCAAATTGTGTGAGG